AAGATAAATGTGCCCGGAGAAAAGTCCAAAATGTGACAGGTGTCACAGCAGAGTGGGATTGTCTGCGACCGTAAGGTGCCAGTGGTGCAGAGTCTGAGTTCAATTCCATCTGTGGTTGACGTAGCCTGGAACTACCCACAGCGGTGGGTCGGGGAGGGGGCCGTGTCCCCTCCCTGATTTCCACAACGATAATTGGAGGGGGTTATACATCAGAAATCAAAGTCTGATTAAAGTTTTACAGACAGTATTACTGTCTTTAAAAGTTTAGTTAGTAAACTAAACTTAAAAAGACTGCAAAACATTATTATATGCCAATGTTGCATTTTCAAGTTTTGTTACAGTAAACTACTACTGTTGTTGTTCAAGACATGTTTCTAGAGTCATGTGGCTTCTGTAAGTAATTTTCTTTTAGTAAAAATTCCATTTAGTTTGTATATGCAAACTTTTAGTTTTGTTACAAAACTACTATATTTTTAGATTTAAGATGCATAACTTTAGTATTTTACATATCAAACGTAGTGAGTAGATCCAGGCTACATGTTCAGGAAGTTGTTCAGAATCTGTGTCTGTGTTGAGTTTAAGCAAGAATAAAAACAATTTAATATGTCAATGAAATAAAACAATCCGACAATTGTAAAGCGGTAGTGGTAGCAGGATTATTATGTTGGGATAGTCATAGTCCAGTCTAAATCCAGTTGACCCAGAAACTGGAAATTCTGTTCATGGATGTGAACTATGGAGATTGTCTTCTAGTGATTTTATTTTATTTAATAGTTTGCAAAGAAATAAGAGATCATTAGGAGAAGGATACAATCGAAAAAGTGGCTTAATCCTAAATCAGATATATTTATAATTTATTTTGATGAATTAATTTAATGGTTGGATGGTAAAAAAATAGGATAAAAAGTTTCAAAGAACAAACAACTATTATGATATAGAACAAGTTTGCCAAACTAAAACTGAAAAAGTTTGAAGACTTCAAGCAGGTGTTAAAACCAGATTCTGTGACCTTCTTATATTATGACACAAGAGGGCGCTGCTGAGAGGTTAAAAATCAAAGGACTTTATTTACCACAGGTAATACAGGTGCTGGTCATAAAATTAGAATATCATGAAAAAGTAGATTGATTTCAGTAATTCCATTTAAAAAGTGAAACTTGTATATTATATTCATACATTACATACAAACTCATATATTTCAGATGTTTATTTTGTTTAATTTTGATGATTACCAATGACAACAAATGAAAATCTCAAATTCATCATATCAGAAAATTAGAATATTGTGAAAAGGTTCAAAATTGATGGCCCCTGGTGCCACACTCTAATCAGCTAATTAACTCAAACCACCTGCAAAAGCCTTTAAATGGTCTTTCAGTCTAGTTCTATAGGCTACACAATCATGGGGAAGACTGCTGACTTGACAGTTGTCCAAAAGACGACCATCGACACCTTGCACAAGGAGGGCAAGACACAAAAGGTCATCGCTAAAGAGGCTGGCTGTTCACAGAGCTCAGTGTCCAAGCACATTAATAGAGAGGCGAAGGGAAGGAAAAGATGTGGTCGAAAAAAGTGTACAAGCAAGAGAGATAACCGCACCCTGGAGAGGATTGTGAAACAAAACCCATTCAAAAATGTGGGGGAGATTCACAAAGAGTGGACTGCAGCTGGAGTGAGTGCTTCAAGAACCACCACACACAGACGTATGAAAGACATGGGTTTCTGCTGTCGCATTCCTTGTGTCAAGCCACTCTTGAACCACAGACAGCGTCAGAAGCGTCTTGCCTGGGCTAAAGAGAAACAGGACTGGACTGCTGGTGAGTGGTCCAAAGTCATGTTCTCTGATGAAAGTAAATTTTGCATTTCCTTTGGAAATCAAGGTCCCAGAGTCTGGAGGAAAAGAAGAGAGGCACTTCATCCACGTTGCTTGAAGTCCAGTGTAAAGTTTCCACAGTCAGTGATGGTTTGGGGTGCCATGTCATCTGCTGGTGTTGGTCCATTGTGTTTTCTGAGGTCCAGGGTCAACGCAGCCACATACCAGGAAGTTTTAGAGCACTTCATGCTTCCTGCAGCTGACCAACTTTTTGGAGATGCAGATTTCATTTTCCAACAGGACTTGGCACCTGCACACAGTGCTAAAGCTACCAGTACCTGGTTGAAGGACCATGGTATCCCTGTTCTTAATTGGCCAGCAAACTCTCCTGACCTTAACCCCATAGAAAATCTATGGGGTATTGTGAAGAAGAAGATGCAATACACCAGACCCAACAATTCAGAAGAGCTAAAAGCCACTATTAGAGCAACCTGGGCTATCATAACACCTGAGCAGTGCCACAGACTGATCGACTCCATGCCACGCCGCATTGCTGCAGTAATACAGGCCAAAGGAGGCCCAACTAAATACTGAGTGCTGTACATGCTCATACTTTTCAGTTGGCCAACATTTCTATAAATCCTTTGTTTTTATTGGTCTTCAGTAATATTCTAATTTTCTGATATGATGAATTTGAGATTTTCATTTGTTGTCATTTGTAATCATCAAAATTAAACAAAATAAACATCTGAAATATATGAGTTTGTATGTAATGTATGAATATAATATACAAGTTTCACTTTTTAAATGGAATTACTGAAATCAATCTACTTTTTCATGATATTCTAATTTTATGACCAGCACCTGTAGTTTTGCTTCTTCTCTATTAAGGTTCCCTCTCTGCAGTTCTTCTCCTTAGTGTTAGCAAGTACAGAAATATAAATATATAGTTGATATTACTGGCATTACTTGTTAATTATATTACCTCAAAATTCAGGGAAATCTATATTATGCAAAAGCTTCTTTAAATAAAATAAAAAAAAATTTTTTAATTCTTTTGCCTTAAACGTGGCATATTTGGACCATAGGTAATAGCAATGTCTTACCAAGTTTAATTTGTTGTACTGTTTTCATTAATCTGGAGAGAAAGATTAATCTAACTATTCAATCTGTTATGTTTAGTTCAGGAAAGTTGACCAAAAACCTCTCTTATCCATTTTGAAGCTGTGAATCCATGGGAATATATATTGGGCGATGTGTGTTTGCAATATTGTCTAGAATTAGGAAATGTAATCATTGGTTCTTCTTAAAACCACAATTTAAGGCTTTGAATCAACCAGAAGATGATCTTTGGTAGTTTAAGCAGCAACATTCCTAAAAGTTTGAAGATGTTGAATTCGATGCTTTATAGAGCCTTGATTTGGCTAATTGAATCGGACAAACAGGTCGGCCCCTTAGGAATGCTGGTCGTTCGGGTTCAGGCTAACAATGAACCCGAAAAACCCACGAAAAACCAATAAGATCAGTAGACCCTCCATGTTCTTTGAGTATGGATGAGTTCCCCACTGCATCATTCAACCTTCCTCGCTTTGAAACATTCTCCTAGAGGATTTGTGATCAACAGGTGGGAGTCAGATGATTCTCTTAATCCAAGGGGGCCAAATCCAGGGCGTCTGACTCCCCACCCTGGGGTAAAAATGCATTTGATGGGTGACTTAGACTAAGATCTTTCAGTGAACTTCAAAAGATCTTGACTGACTGTGGACTTAATGGAGAACTGTAATCCTGGCAAATCAGAGTCTAAAGATAATACGTCTGACTGTACACAGCCTCCTCCCTGATCCGCAACAGTAGGAAGTTTCAATATGCGTCAGTCACAGATTGGAATTGAACTCGGACACTTGATAACAGAAAATACCACTCTACTAAGTGGTTGGTACCAGGTTTTTGTACCAGGTTCGATCCCCTGGGCCACTCAATGGCCGTCCACTGTTCCCCAAGTGGATGGGTCAAATGCAGAGGTGAAGGTTTCCATCCTTCTCTTTGGAAGCATTGACATACTTGAGATCAGATACAAAGCACTTGTACATGCATCCTTTAAAGTAAATACTGAAATTAAAAGTTGGATGCCTCGGGGAGGATTAGCAGATCTTTCAAATACTCCTAATCTGAGCTAACTAGGAAAACGTTTAAGTTCATCATGTTTGATCTCTTTGACCTCCTTGATATTCTGCTCATTACCCGATCAAACAAGCTCTTTAGCCGAGATGGCTGAATTTCCCATTTATTAAGTATTATTAAATGGAACATAGAGCTAGTTTCCTAAATTCTTTTCTTTTAAGTTTTAAAAGCTCTTATCGTTTTCTTTTCTAGAGTCCTGGACATTACTCTTTTGTTAAATCTCAGATCTGTTTTTTTAAAGATCTTTTAAGCCTTCACGTATTCAGGCATGCAAGCTTGTGGAATGCACTTTTTAGTCGTAACAAATCAACAGAAACCAGGCCACACACATTAACGCACAAGGAAAGAAAGGAATACGATGCATTTTACTTTAAACACGTAAAAGGAAATATATTTTCTTTAAAAATGAAATAACAAAAAGAACGACATCTCTTTTTTTTTTTTTTTTCTTTTTTTTTTCCAGAGGAGCTGCTTTAGTTGCTGCCGAGGTCATTTACACAGGACATGAAATAAAACACCCTACTAAAAGTGGCAAAAAAACAGCTGCTACACCAGAGTTTAAAATAAACATTAGGTTTGGTTTTCTCAGACCTTCGGTTGACCGTCGGTGAGAGAGAGAGAGCGCTGCGCCACTTTTGGTAAAGAGTGAGAAACTTATGTCACATACTGAGCTTCTTTTCAGGGTTAATATACACTGGCTCTTGTTAATTCACTCGTATGACGTACGCACCATTGAAACATTTACACATAAAATTATTTTCTCGCCCCAAAACAAGAATACGTTGAATATTTCTGAAAGACGACAGGTAACAGTTCTGAATCAGTGGCTTTAGGGTTGAAGCTCTATTCTTTCGCTTAGACCTTGTTTTAACAAGCATGGCTCACTGTCGGGCTCGAGGAAAGTCATCGTGGCAGTCTGCCTGGCAGAAACCAGGGGTGTGCATAGGTGGTAGGATGTTTCCCCCTTCCTCCAGGTTCTGATAAGGCAGTTTCTCCTTTTGGTTTCTTTTTTTTTTTTTTTTTTTTTGAGCCCATGTTTAGTTAAAGTTGGTGCTTCTTTTTTTTTTCCTCTCTCTGCTGATTGTGTTTAAAGACGTGTTTCCGTACCTCCTGATTGTGTTGTAAAGGAGAGGGCAGAATCAAATCAAAGCCAAGATTACGAGATGTTTTTCTCCTTCCTCTTCATTGTCCGTTTTGTGCAAACCGAGATGTAAACAAGAGACTGTCAGTGGTTGTGAGGGGTGGCATGAAAGAAAAAAAAAAAAACAGCAACAAAGAGGGATGCAGTGTGCTCCTTCAACAAGCTGAAAGGCACCGAGGGTCAGAGAAATAAATAGACGGCGAGGCGAGGGGAGGCAAGAACACCTTTTTTTTTTTTTTTTTCTCTTCAATCAAACCTGCACTGAGAGCTCAGGGAGTCGACTTGTCGCCGCGGTTGCGGCGTCTGATGTGCTTCAAAGATCGGCTTGTTTGTCACAGGGGCCGAGGGGACTGTTGGAGGAGGGGACACACACAGTACCACAAGAATAGCCTTTAAAAGGCCAATACACACGCACGCACACACAGGCAATCCCCATAGGACTGTTTTATGGTCATGCTTGCTATTGCCTTTTCAATATTTTCATCCATCCATCGATTACAAAAGAAAATTACAAAATATCTACTACACTGCTCCACCACTCCCCACCTTCAACTATGAGGACAGAACCATATTCATGTAGTTTATCATTTCTATATACAGGTATATACATGTACATGTCTATAGCCTTTTAGGCTATTGAGAGAAAGGGGAGAGGGGGGTTAGTGTGCAGTCATTGTTCTTCATTTTCCCACTTTTTAAGCATCTGTTCATCTACATAAATGAGTAATGAGACACGAGAGTCGAGGAACCGACACAGTTCAGGTTCCCTGTTAGAGGAGGGGGTGTTTGTCAGTAGACCCAGGAGACAGGAACCCACTGAGCGGTGCTGGACACCAGGTCCACAGCCTCCTCCAGCAGGCGAATGGTGTCGTCGATCTCGTTGTTGATGACGGTCTGGTCAAAGTAGTGAGCGTAGGTTCGCTGGAGCATCTCGGACTCCTTCTGGAGCCGCTGAAGGGAGTCATCCTGCGGAAGGAGACCAAAGCATTCAAAAAAATGAATCTGTTCTAACCAGGAAAGAAATCTAGTCAAAACAATAAAGAGGAAATAAAACAATACAAAAATCTATTTGGGAAAAGAAATGACAAACAGTTGGATAGTCTCTACAGGGACCAGCTGGGTTCAACTCGTACTTCCATACTTACAGGTAGTTTCCTGCACCACCTTGGGATCTTTGGTGCAAATGATAATAAGCATGCCAAAGAAAATATAAACATGCTTAAAACAAACAGGACATTTAAGGTAAAATCAGAGCTTATAAATTCAGCAGAAGCTTCTTTAACACTCGCTCTCCTTGTTTGAGTTCAGCTGGCAAATCGAGCTGCTGGATTTTTCGGAAATTAGGAATAATTGTAATATTTAATTCATTGCTTCTGAATCCAAACTAAGGAGCGAGTCTAACTACCGGGGACGTGCAGAGAGACTCGGAGAAAGCAAACCATATGGTTACGTTACCTCGGTCATGCCGGGAGTGATGGTGGGAGCTGCGATGAAGACGACGTATGGAGCAAACTCTGCTGTCCTCAGGATCTTTAGTGCCTGATGGAGGGGACAAATATTTTTATTGGGACTGCAAAAGAAAACCTTAAAAAAATCTTTCATTATCAAACATCCATACTTTTGATACTGCAATTATTGAAGATCTGACATTTACAGATAAACATGTCCAAATGCACACATTTGATGTCTAATGATGCTGCTACTATAGACGCCAGTGCTGATCATAAAATAATGTGTCGTTATTTTAGCTCAGATAGCCAAGACACCACTTGTGATGTTTGTGGTAAAACAGAAATTAACACACTAACCTCATTGAAACACCTCAGGTTAAACCACAACACTATTCACTGTCCTTAAAATGAATCAAAATGGTGATAAAATAGGTTATTATATAAATATATGCTTCACTTAGCAGCACAGGTTCAGCTTTGAGCCATTACTGTTGATCCTACATACATAAGTTGGGAAAGCTAGATTTAAGTTAGATAGATACAGTTAGTAGAAAGAAGCTGAAAGAAGTGTTGACTTTAAATTGCCAACTTAAAAAAAAAAAAAAAACAATCAGTCCAATTTGATATAACTTATAAATATTTAAAAATTTAGGTATTGGCAATTTTTTTGTAATAACCAGGTTAACATGTTTGTCTTTCAACTCCACAGACAACATAAACAAGTAAATGTTCGTGTTGGTCAAAGTGTTAGTCTTGCTGATAAAGATAGCTTAAAATAGCCATAAAAAAAAATAATAAAAAAAATAGATGAGAAAAAGTATTTCTCTACTAGTTTCCTTCACTTGATGCCTTTTTTTCTCTGAAATGCTTCAGACTATTTCTAATATTAGACATAGGACCTGTTTAAAGGTATAGAGGATGATCTAGTATTTCTCAGTTGTTCATTTAAATAAGTGGCCCTCCTAAATGTCAATCTGGGCGTGCAGGTGGTTAGTGCGCACGATCCACGTATGGAGGCCTTAGTCCTCGACGCAGCCGACCCAGTTTCGAATCCAGCCTGTGGTCTTTGGCTGCATGTCTCTCTCCCCTCTCTCATAACCCCTTTCCTGTCAGCCTACTGTAGAAAAAACGAGCCACTAGTGCCACAAAAAAAAAAAAAAAAAAAAAAAAAAAAAAAAAAAAAATAAACTTTCTCCTAAATCTCAATTCTTTTTGTGATATGTTTACGTAAGGTCGTCCTACGTGCTCGTTCCGTTCGCCATCTTATTCTGCACATCCATACTTTCAGGCGTATATCTGTCTACGGTTTCAGACAGTCATTGAAGCTCACATTTCTCACCGCGGTTCTTTGAAAATGGCTGAGGGTCGTAAGAGAAAAGGTCTATGAGAAGAAAGGAAAGGTCTCAGAGGCAGATGTATCCCAGAATGCTTTGCACGGAGAGCTCTCCTCACAAAGCATTATGGGATTTTTTTTTTTTTTTTTTTTTAAGGGGAGAGGGCGGATCTTTTGAATAATCCTCCCCGATATCTTTAAATACCAAATGCAATGCTTTCAAAATTATATTTGAGGTAGTATAACCTGATATTCTTTAAGTTTAATCCCAGATATACCCACTCATCTCAGTCTTTGATCATTAAGATGTTTTGGGGTAAACTTGGGACCTTTATTTTTCTCTAAGTGAGGATTGAAATGTTAAAATTTACGGTTCTTTTGATACCTACTGAATGAGCTTTAGATTGGCCCCTTAAGAGTAATCTTTGTAACTTGTTAAATACTCTGTTTAGCTGAAATTATTTAATCTTTACTTCGTTGTCAGACCGATTCCATTTAAATTTCGACATGTTAATCCACATTTAGGCACATAATCTTGTAAATTTAAATCAGTCAATGTAGGTAATTTCAGCAGATGAATGATTTCAAATGTTCGTCTCTTAAAGGGGTCAGGTAGGATAGGACAATATTTTACTTTCAATCTGATTAGTTTCCTTTTTGAAAATAAGAACAGTAAACTGTGACTAATGGCCACAATTTAACGAATCAAAGAACAATCGAACATTAAACGACTTAATACGTACCTGTGGCTCCACATCCAGGATGGCGATCATGCCCTGAGCGTGGATTTGCCTGATGGTCTCCAACCTGGTTCCATACATGGCGTCCTCATGGCTGCCGTATTCCAGGTAATCATTGTTGCTGATGTCTTGCATCATCTGGTCATGAGACACAAAGTAGTAATTTTTCCCATTCTCCTCATCCTTCTTGGGAGGCCGGGTGGTGTCTGAAAATGGAGACAAAAAGGCAAACAGGTTTTAAGACAGAGAGGGAGATACATGTTCCTTTTATTTGTTTTCCAAGTACAAGACCTGAAGTTTCTTCATGTACTCACGAGGAATAGGATAGGCAAAGCGGTCAGGGTGTTTGGCAATGAGTGTGTTCTTGATGTGCCGCCTTCCCACTCCATGTGCACCTGAAAGGTAAGGCAAGACATTAGAGGATTCATTCAACCAAACACTGTTCTTAATGTATCAAAACAGTTTCCTGTTGCAAAATATCCTTGAATATAGAACGTTTCCTTCTGTATGGCAAGCCTTTTGAGCTTTTATCTAAAACCTGTTGTACCATGTGCTGTTTTATGAGTTTTGTTTCAAAGATGACTGAATGACACAATGCAAGCAAATGTACCACATCTAGATGATTAAATACAGTTAAAGAAGAACATTTGTTCAGGTTTACAGCAGCTTCTGAAATCTAAAATGCCGAATGACCTAAACCTGGTGGTGTTTATAGCCTCCTCATTCTCTATATGCAGGAAAGTTCTGGGGATTTTATACAGTTGACCAATTTTTGTCTTCTCAAAGGTGTGATTTTTAATTTAGGTGGTGAATAAGCTAAGAGGAAACCAAGGTTGAAAAAAACAACAACAAAAAAAAAAAATAATAAAAAAAGATTCTGGATGAGAATTGTGTATTTTTGTCTCCTTTTCCGGTCTGATGTCAACTTCCTGTTTACGTTTTAAGCATGGCAGTACATGGATGCTATAGTTTACGTGTCACATTTAAGTAACAAAAACTAACTAGCTAACTGTACACCATTCTGATAGAATAGTTTGCAATATTGAACAATATATGAAAGTTAAACCTACACATGGGGATGTATTTTCACCATTAAATACTGTTAGTAGTGAAGATTATTGCTTAAAGCTAATAAAATCCCAAATTCTGTTTTTTAGGGCTTTAAAAACATTACATAAGACCAAAAAAAAGTGGATTTGTTCAGCCTTTATTTTTAAATGTTGACTTCAACCGGAGTTTGGAGGCTAAAGGTCTTTGTGTTTTTTTGGCTGCTCCTGAACTATACAACTCTTCAGAAACATCCTGCCTGGGCTGAGGAGAAACAGGACTGGAACATCAGTTACTGTGTAAAGTACTCTTCTCCTATTCCTAACTGACGTGGCATAAACGCCACAGGAAAGCGATGTTTTTGGCAAGAAGATGAGAGAAACCAGATGAAGGCTGCTGGTAAAGCAACCTGGGCTTCAGGTTGATCATCTTCATGCTGCTTTTTAGATCCATTTAAAAGAAAAAAATCTAAATTTCCCCGATGGTTTAAATGATATTGTCACTTTGTTCTCTACTAAACAGTGAAATGCTCCCTTGAAATAAATCACTTTCAGAAAACTTTTTGAACTAAAGTAATTGTTTCCATGATGTATTAACCAGTTCTATTGCACACCTTTGCTTTAAACTACCACTTGCTACGGATACATCTAAAGCTCATTTACAGCTGACCTACCCAGCAAAACGAGCGTTTTCCTCTTGAATGATGGTACTTTGACGACCTCCTCGTACGTCACCAGATCTAGTTGATCAAACACTGAAATGAGGAAGAGGGATATATTAGCAGAGGACTGAAAAACAGTGGAAATTCAGTCACTTCATAAATGGGATTTCACCGTTTTAAAACAAGGAAAATGATTAGTGAGACGTTATCAATAAGCATTTGATTTTAAATCATAATCATAACTGTGAGATTTCAAAAAAAGGAAAAATAAAAGTAGCTAACAGCTTTAATTACAGCATGCTCCACGATGGAGGCTAAATAAACTATTATACTGAAAGGACAGCAGACAAACTTTACTGATACTAAATAGAACACCTATTAACAGTAAGGTGTCGTCACTCATTTCTCTGCTTTCAGGCTCTATATCTGAACATGGTTTAGTTTCTCTCACCAGACTAGAACTACTGAAAAAACAAAAACTGAAAGTGAGAAAGTGTTTTTTTTTTTCCTCACAGAGTCAAAGTCAGCAGTGATTGTGTAGATGTTTTTTATTACTCATATCCAAAATATTATAAACACAGTAGGGCTGCAACTAACGATTATTTTGCAAATCGATTAATTCTTCAATGAATTTTTCTATCACAGAGCCAAAGGTTTATTTAAAAAAATGATTTACTAAATTAATCCAGATGAAACTAAAATGTTTCCACTTGAGGAGTTCTGGTTTGAACATATTGACAAACAAAACAGTTTTTGTTGTTTTCATTTTAAATGCAAAATGTTTACATCATTTTATTTTTACAATTTTGATATAATTGCTGCTCTAAATGGGTCGCTCAGTCAGCTAAAGGGACGTTTTAAAGTCTCTATACTTCATTTAACCATTAATTGATTACTAAATTAGTTTACGATTATTTCAATAATCGATTAATAACAATTAATCCAATTAATAGTTTCATCCCTTAAACACAGGATGACTTTTTTGTATCCTACGCCTTCTATTTAAGTCATAATACTAGAACTACAGGAAATGAAACTACAACTAAATTAAAACTAATAAAAAAACAACAACTAATAACTAGTACATTCATAATTAACGGGATAAAACCGTGAATGAAGAATTAAAAAGTGTTATAGCACTGGCTCCAGTTAAAATGGTGCCATAGAGAGAGAAAAAACTGAAACTGTCCAGTCTGCAACTACTCCATTGGTCAGATTGAAAAACAAATCAATCTGAATCACATTGCTTATAACCAATCACATTAGAGCATCTCGTTACAAAGCAGTCAAGGAAACGACGGGGAAAGGGGCAAACTTGGAGTTAAGGAAGAAAAAAACACAGAAATGTACTTACATGCAGCCATGTCATTGGGTAAGAGACAGCATGAAATATGGACAAAGGGCGGGAGTGGAAGGGTTAATTAAAGAAGAAGAATTCAACTGAAAACAATCACCACAAACTGTCAACAGCACATCTGTTAGTCACTGAAAAACCTGGCAGCGTAGAGGGATCAGAGGGAAACACGGCCATGCAGTTTGAACTTTTTCTGAATTAAACACAGGGGCAGCAATGTGATAGAGCCGACTACACTGTAACCTTACCTGAAAGCTGAGGGATCATGATGTCTGACCCAAAGTAGGTCGACCAATCATGTTGCAGTATTATAGTTTAAGGTGGGACATAACTGTGATCAAAGCCAGAGACGGCCGAACCAAACAGATTTAATAATTCCAGTCTTAGATTCATAAGCTGGCTAAATGACTAAACCAGAGTGTTACATATTATTCTGGAACTCCAGATTAAGACTTTCAGCAAGAGATTCAGTAAAAGAACAACTTCCTTCCTAGTTTGGTTTCTGTTTATAAAGACAATTTGCAAGTTCAGGGTTGATTTCTTTTTTTTTTTTTTTAATGAAGCACAACTTTATTGGCACCGATGTGCCAAGTAAAATTTTTCCAAAAACAAAATGTCCCAGCACACTTAAAAACAGCTTCACACACTGATTCAGCAGCTACATATAGATGCATTTTTTGCTACAGCTAACCAAGTAGCTTCCATGTTTTTGTCATTAATCATGTTAGAAATGTTTCTCATTAGGACTGGGTAAAAAAATTCGACTTAATCGATTTTGAATCGATTCCTTTACATTTTTGCAAAATGGATGTCTAGGGAATGAGATCGATTAATTTTTTTGTGACCCGCGTGACGTTCACATTCAAATGAGCGGGAAAGATGCACTCAAGATTACTTCAAGCCAGACAGCTGCAAATATAGCCAATAGGTTGACTGAAGACATTAACAAATGGAGGCTGACCAGCAAACACCCTGAAGTCGTTACAGACAACCCTGCAAATATGGTTTGTGCAGTGAAGATAATGCAGCTCATGAATGTCTGCTGTGTCACGTCTGCTTGCCGGAGTGATGCTTCACTTTTTCACTTTTCACAAAAAAGTTTGCACTTTTGAGACAGTTTTGTTCACATCTCATGTTTAAACTGTCTGATTACAAGTTTGCACTTTGTGTTCAATGTGACAGGAAAAAACAAAATACATGATTATTTTGAAACACATTTAAACCACTTTCATTATTGTAAAAACAGATCGAATCGAAATGAATCAATTTATTACTCTATGAATCAAAATCGAATCGATTCAGGACTTTGGCAAAAATACCCAGCCCTATTTCTCATTATCTAATGCTCCTGTGTGGTTGCCGTTTAGCTTACCTGCGTTGTGCTTGGCCAGATATTTATCTTTGTACTGCTTCTTCTTCTTTCCAAACCAGGTACAGCTGGCTTGCTGTTCCTGCTTGGTCTTCTCCATCGCTATACACGCTACACGCCTGAAGACACAAAAGCAGTCGGGTTTAGATGATTGAACTGATGAGTAGTATTCAGTCTTTCATAAATGGTGAACAGTGCTAATTACAGAGACACAAAGTTGCAGGAAAACTGTACATAGTTTGTATTTAAATTCCACTGAAGAAGGAAATTAGACAAATACAATTTAAGGGTTTAGGATGCAAAAAGAAAAAATATTTTGGAAAAAGTTCTTAGATGTCTTGAGAGTCTTAAGACTTTTGCTTTGCTTTTATTTGCAGATCTTCTAACAAAATGTAACCTGATGTTTCGATTCTAAAACTTTCTACAGATTTTAAGCTCTCAGATCAGCTTCCAACACTGCCATTAAACTTTTTTATGGAAATGTCTTAGTGAATAAGAAATTGTCCGATCCATCCAATACTAGGTCTCTGCAGCTCTCCTAGTTATATTATATACTGATAGCTGCAGATGCCCCAATAACAATTCTCTGATGACACTGTTGCTCTGTCTCATCTACAGGATAACCAGATAAGATGGCTCTCCCTTCTTTGTCGCTTGGTAAAGTGACAACTTCTTTGATCTAAGGCTACGTTCAAACTGCAGGCCTCAATGCGCAATTCTGATTTTTTTTTTTTCAAAATCCAATCCTTTCCTTTGGTTGTTTACATTTAAAAGTACATGTGACTTGTATGTGATCTCCTGTGTGAACTCTGTATGCAGCAGAGGAAGCAATGACGTCACAAGTAGCGAGCATGCTCTTTGTTTACATACATAAATGTGGATGGTAGTGCTGGGTAATTAGTGATCTTTCCTTTATTTTCCGACCAGATGCAGCTCATCAAAAACGCAATATTTTCAAGAAGGTCGAAAACAAAGGCTGCTCTCCTCATAATGGTCCGCCATTGTTCCTGCTTCTACAAGACGTAGAACAGTGCTCTTTGTTGAGTATTAATCACAGGTCGGATGAATGCAGCCGTTCAGACACACATTTGAAAAGATCAGATACGTATCGGATTCAGGACCACATAGCCAATTAGCCTGGGTCGCATTGGGGGGAAAAATTGGATCTGTGATGCTTAGACTGTCATAAAAAGATCAGATGTGGGTCACTTCAGCGTGCAAAGCTAAAGAACCTGTAGAACAGGTGAGGAGGTAACCAGCATAAAGCAGTGCACTCCATGGTGAGGAGGTAAAAGTTGTCACGAGTTAAAAAAAAACATCTGGAAACTGAAATACTGATAACATAAAAAAAGGACAGCAGTGAGGCTACCTGCATTACAGACTTTTTGTGTTCCTGTTTTGTTAATTAGAAGAGTTTTAAAGACTTTATTATTTCTTCTACATTAAACCTGATCTCACTTTTTCTTACTTCTGTTGGTAAGAAAAAACAACCTGAACATCATAAAGTGTGCTGCAGGATTTTTAGAAGAGAGTCTGGTCAGAGCAGAGGCATGTCTTAACAATATTAATTAACATTTTTAGTCTAAAGCTCTCAGGTCGATTATTACATGCCTAAGATCAAAACTAATATAAATCTTTTATACCTTCTGCCATTGGGTTCTGAAACATTATAGTCTTGTTTATATTTCTGACTATTGTGTGTCAACTTTTGTAGAAAATACCAGCCTGTTTTTCCTTTTATGTCTGGACAGGTGGCTGTAATAAATGTATCCATCATTGGGTCAAAAATAGTTTTCTAATTCTGGTTAAAACCTTCAAAACTGTTTACTATGAAAGGAGCAGCAGAAATCCAAATCTGGAAGAGGAAAACTATTATTCTAGAAATGCAGTCTGTTGGGACACGTTGCAAAAATCATAATTCTAGGAGATGTTTTATTATTTTTAGATCCGTTTTTGCAGAACAACACGTTAAAAATGTAGAGGTGCTTGAATACTTTTACTTTAACATGATTAGTTTTGGGAAATTTAAAACGTTATCACGACAAATCTATGAAATCGAGAAAAAAAACTTGCATTACTCACCAACATAAAACTATGTTAACATCTATCCTTTAATTATCTATCTTCAAGCGTCTTAGGAACTTGTTAACGCCTCACTTGGCTTTTCCTGACTCATTATCGTTCTCACCACTCTTGCAGCTCTGGGGATGGGATAAGGCCCGCCGTTCCGTTCTTGGTGTTCTCCAGCTTTCCCTGCCACCAGTTGTGGTCATCCTTGGAGATGATTTGGATGATGTCGCCGACGCGAAATCGAATGCCCGCCTCCTTACAAGGGATGAGGTCGTCTTTGGCGGGGTCGTATTCAAACTGAGCGCGGACATAAATCTGCAACAGCAACACAGAAATGGGAGGTTTTTAGGTTCAGAAGAGTCCTGCAGGCATCAGAGAAGATTTGCCGATCCTCTCATAAATAAGAAAAAAAGATTGACTGCAAAATTGTTAAAAAGAAAGATAATAGAAAACTCATGTGCTGAAGCAAGGAGAGGGGGGAAAGCGCACATACGCTGATGAACAGCAGGACAAAAATGGTTGAACGAAGAGCTGCTCTGCTTCTTTTGCCAGCAGATGTATCCTTTTGTGTGGAAGGCGTGTGCACTGATTATTTCCTGGTGTTTCACGACTAGTGTGAACATTTGAAAAGCAGCAAGGGATCAGAACAACACTGATGGGGTACCAAACTGTGCGGTGTGAAATGGCAGGAGCTGGGGTCTACTTCTACAAAGGGGGGGACAGGGGGGGTCACCTCGGTTTACTTCTTACCTTAATGGACAATTTGTCCTTGATGGCAGGTCTGGAGATCTAAGGGGTTGAGAGCATCACACACACACGTATCATGCAGTGGAAGAAATTGAAGCCCATAAAACAAAAGAAGTGTGTCGGGGAGCCGTAACAGGATGCTAAATCTCAAAGTATCCATACTGCATTTTATACTCCTGTGTGTGTGATGTTGGAACACAGTAAAAGAAGCCTGCCTTATGGGTATGTTTTCAACATTTGTGTGCGAATCAGCCAGTATTTGCAGAGTAGAAGAAGAATGCTGTGATGTGATGGAAGTGAACTTCACCTGACGGCCTTTGGGCTGGATCGTAGAGGGCAAGTCCTGAGGGGGACGGAAAATACAGTATTAGATATTACATGATTTATTTAGAGAAAGTATTCTCAGAATTGAATAACCTTCTATAATAAAATGAATTCTAGGAAGTAACATGAATGCCAGACATACCAGGATGGAGCTGGTGACACTAGCATGACCATTAGCAGGCGACTGGCCAGACAAATCAGGTGACTCCTTCTGCAACAGTCAAATCAATGAGAAATCCTCATTTTCTCCTTCAGGCATGAAAAACCTTCAGTCTATTGATGATACAGTACCTCGCATGACATTGACTGGGAGCGGTAGCTGGGAACAATCTTAAAGGTGATGCTGCCTCTCATTTCCCTCTGCGGACAGAATCACATCCAGAACAGCAAGTCGTCGTTACTCAATATCAATACAACTAAAGGCTGATTTATGCTCAGAAAGCAGGTCGTCTGGATGTGTGTCGCAGTGAATGCAAATTTGCCCCAACCCCTGCCGCAGACACTGTGCTCCAAAACTGTAGGAGATCGCAGACAGTGCTGCAGTAAGAAGGCATCTGATTGGTCAGATCTACATCCGCTCTACACTATGCGTATTTCCTGTTTGGTATCTTACCGGCTTGTTTTGTTTTTATGACAGCCATTGCAGAAAACAACTCATGAAGATGGACCAGCTAGAATAGCGAGGTGCGTGAGAACGCTGGGACCCTTTTTTTCCCCACCTGACTCCCTGCCATTTTTCGCAAGTTGTCGGACAAACTTGCCCCCACTTCCTCACCGCCTCGGCCATATCTAGACCCACAGCTAGTTCGTGATTGTCCCTCTTGCGTTATGGCGTGGAATACGACGCTTCAATATTGGACATAAATCAAAAATATCTGCGACAAGCTCGCTGCGAAACACTGCTGTGGGAGGATAACCAGCCCTTAAGGTGCGACTATGCAGAGTTGACCAGATACTTTCCAGGAACATTCATGAAGTGAGATATATTTTCATAACTTAAAAGGTTTCATCTAAAATTTACTTCAACATTTAATCCATTTAACTAGGAATTAGTTCAACCGCTTTAAATTTATCAAGAACCTGGAACTGAAGTAAATATAATGGAGGTTCTATTACAGTTCTTTTAAAGTCGATGAAAAGTTACAAAAGCATCTTTTGAAGTTAGCCGTTATTAGAGCCATATTTTGGAGTTTTTGTATTTATTTCCCTATTTGATGTAATACCTAAAATTAACAGTGGATGGCTTCAGGTAGTTGCACGGCAGGTGTGCTGATTGCGGCGCAAACGAACTGTTTTTTGACCGTCGTCGTCTTTGCCGATTGTTTTGTTTTGTTGTTATTGATCATTGTGTTGCAGCAAATATAAGATCATTTGGTTGTAAGCCAGTGGAAGTAAAAGTTAAAATTAGCTTTTTGTGAGAGCGTTGGATGAATAAATGCTCTGCAAACCAAGAACCTGAAGGTTTATTCATTTATTGCGAGAGGATGATGCGTCAACTGAGTGCCAGTCAGCAGCCTCACCGTGGCTTAGGTTTGTTATTTTCTTCTTTTTTTGTTATGAATAAGTCACTACAGCGGTGAATAGCTATTTACTGATTTTAGATCAATGACCTCTAAAAGTGCGTTCACACTGAACGCGTTCAGTGACAAAGCATCGGATTTACATGCAAAGTTTATGGGGGATGGCGTCAAGCAACATCGAGGAGGTCCTGGAAGTCTGAGCTTCTGGAGGGACACATCCGAGCATCAGAGTGTCATGGTATTCCATCATTGGAGCGCTCAACGCTGGAGTTCAGATATCTGAACTTTTGTAGCTTGACTCGGAGCACCAACCAAACAGAAAAGCTACTCCAAGAGGTTTTTAGGAGACAGTCACTAAATGTATAACGCGATCGCTTCTGCAGAGCTGTCTGCATATGCAAAATAAATAAATATAAAGGGAATAAACTCCACACGGGTCGTTGTGTAGAAGGAAAAGAGAACAAGCTCTGATCAGTTTTTACTCCACTAAAACATTTTTCTTATGAACTGTGGCAAAACGGTTTATAAATATCTAAATTAACAAAAATAATCAAAACTGCACGCGAAAAATATTCTGGTAACTGCCTTTTTTTTTCCTTTTAAAACACGTCATCCTGTCTGCTTTCAGAGAGCCTTCACTGGGGACTCCAGTGCGGCCCCCTCCGGAACAAGAACTAAATCGTGATTCGGATGAACTGACCCCAAAAATGATGTTTTGAGGTGGACTTTCTTAATTAAAAATGTGTTAAAACTACTTTTCCAACTCGTTGAGGTAAATAAAGCAGAGCTACTCTCTAGCATGTAACAGAACAAAGCATATAAACAACCAAACGTTAAAAGCATCCGGACCACCTTTGATTCGACATTTTAGAGTTATTGACGTCCAAAAAACGTTTGGTATAAACGCACCATAAAAACAAAAAAAATGATTGATTGACCTCTAATAATATATTTGGAAAGCTCTGGAAAGTACCCAAAGTTTAAGGAGAATTATTTCCTTTATAATCTAGTACTAAAAATTCTCTATTTTTCTTTCTATTTGGACATGTGTGTAAAATAAGATTTAAAAAACAAAATGTGACATACCAGCATCTTCTGAAGCTGCTCTACAGTCTGATTCGCTACACTGATGCCATTAATCTCTCGAATCTCATCTCCAACATGCAGCGTTCCTGAGAAAAAGAGACGATGAATAAATGAAGATTAAATAATAAGGCTTCTGGGTAAAAAACATCACAAAGCAATACACAAATATATCACTTTAATGGGAAAGAGTTGAATTATTAGCAGATCTAATCGATATATGAGACTCAGTGGGTTTCTACCTTGTCGGTGAATCATGCCGCCATGCATGATTCGGGCCACAATACAGTGGTTGAGGTCATTCATTTTCAGAGTAATGCCCTGAAACAGGGAATGGAACAGAGGAATGACAGAAGCTCTCACAGATTATATCAAACATCTGCCTTTTTTTTTTTTTACTCACCATTGGCTCGTCTGTGTTTTTCTGGAACTGGACCAGCCGGACCCTGGTCACGTTCTCCAGGTCCATATCCCCGTTGGTGCTGTCCGGAGAATCTCCGTTTAAGTAAGGTGAGGTGGGTGGAGGGGTGACCCTCAGAGCCTCGTCGCTGTAAACCTCGTGGGCCACCACATCGTGGGTCTGCAGGAGAGCCTGCAAGCACCAAGATTGTCAAAATATTGTTTTTTAATCAAAAAAATCACTGATCTTAACATCAACTGGGACATGTTTCTCCTCAAACGCCCTCACTTTAAATCCCTTCACATTCACTGTGCAAGCAGCAGAGGTAAAATGTCTGTCGGGATGAAAATCCGAAGGCTGTTCAGGTCAGAGAGCAGAGCGGCCTAATTGGATTGAACCAAATCTGAGGCGTGACAGCTTTGCTAAGTGCCACACATTGAATCTGCACAGGGAAACACCTTATGATAACACATTTTCCTGCTGATATCTGCTAAGGAAACTAATTTTTATGCCAAAGCTGAATGTAAAGAACATAGTTAAAAAAAAAAAAAAAAAAAAAAAAGCTGAATGAGATTCCAGTCTGAACTTCATTTAGCGATATCCGTCTCCGGTTTGTTACGCTCCTGCAGACTCACCCAATAATCATGGTGGCTCAGAGGGCCAAACTTCAAAAAGTATCCTCACTGTGTGCAGGTTTACAGTTGAGCTTCTGCTCTGGATGATTCGCTCTGTGTACCGTTACCTCTGCGTGCGTCTATCACTCACCGGAGGGGGTGTTTGCCAAGCTCAGTTGCTAAGCAGCTTTGTGGCTCAGGGAGCCATGTGGACTGTCAAAAGAGCCCTACGTCCGACACGCCGGGCAGCAGCGACACACGGCAATAAGCAAGAACAATTATATAATTCCCAATTAGGAGTCTAGCCTTTCTAAATCATCCTACCATGAAGTGTGGCTGTGTGAGGATCCTCCTGAGCTCCTTAGCTTCCATGTTTTCTGGATAACAGGCGATAGTTTCCAGTACCTGCAGAGAAAAAAAAGGGAAAAAAATCATCATCTCTGGTCTGCTTAATATCCATCAATCTTGGCCACCTGGATTCACCCAACTAATCCACCCAATCAAGATAAAAGCCTTATGGTTAGAGAGGTTATTATACAGGGTTGAATTAGCTTAAGGATTTATCCTAAAACAACATTATTGATCCACCCTCCTATACCAGATATGGACTAAGTGCTTAAAAATGGATCATAACAAAAGCTTTATATTAACATAATTCATTCATCCCAAACCAGCTCAGTGTTTCCTCCATCTATTCACCACAGCCTCACTATTTATATTACCACCACCATGATTGACAATAGTTACAGTATAGCTTCACCTCCAAAATTTAAACATGTTCTTAGTCAATGAAGATTAGGGCGGAAAATGTAATCTGGTTAATCGATTATTGAAACGTTTTTTCAAAAATTCTTCACTATACCTTTAACTCTAAGAGCAATTATACCAAAATAATGAAAATAATGTTAAGATTTTGCATTCACAATTTACAGGAAATACATTAGAATCATCAATTAAAAGGAAAATCTGCAACCTTGAGCAACATTTGACCAGAACTGCAGCTCTGCAAAAAGGAAAACAAAGCACAACTAAAATCTCCAAACATCAACTTAATCACTGCAAATCAGCCAGACAGAGATGGAAAACATTATTGTTTTATTATTCTAATGTGTTGGATGGGATGATATGAGCCCAATGCTTTAAACAACATTAGGAGCTCCCATCATAATAAATAGAGAAACCAGTTTATTAAACACAACAATATTCAGGCTATTTGTTTTAGATCTAGGATCACAAACAGCTTAAATGTCCACAAGGAAGGAAGGAAATAGAAAAAGGAAATAAAGAAGGAACAATGACATGAGGAAGAGGAAAGAATTATGAATGAGAGATGAAAGAAGGAAGAGAGGAACGAAGGACAATGGAGAAAAAAAAAAGTATCTAATTTAAAACAGCAAGGATAAATACATCCAAAAAACTCCATTATTTTCTTTAACAATTATTCATTTATCCACACCTGGAAAATGGTTTTGCAGATATTTACAGTATTTAAAGTAAAACAGATAGGATTTTAGCTAATAGTATCAATTAAAAAAAACGTTTTGTTTTTTTTTAAATGGGATATAATGCAACATTTTATATAAAACCTCATGCTTACCTCTTTGGCTCTCTGAACTCCATCACTTGGAGGATTTCTAATCTGAGGGGAAGACCTGGTGTTGATTTTGTCATAAAGCTGAAAGAAAGGGGGGAAAAAAAAACACTTTAACAACAAAAACAAAAATTGCAAAAGACAATAAAAAACACATCCCTGGTTGCTCCTGACACCTGCTGGATAGTTTTGCTAATCCAGATGATTTTTGTTTCATTTAATCCCACTGTTAACTAGGGGTGTAAAACACCCATCATGGCGATTCGATTCAGTATCGATTTCCTGACCCAACGATTCCATTATTTTTGATACTCAAGAATACACGACGATACGATTCGATTAGTTTTGTTGTTTTTTTTTCTTACACACCTTACAGGCTAGACAATGTTTCAAATAAAATAAATTACTCAATGAAAGCTGTAATATTGTAATATAATTTTTTTTGAGAATCAACAGCAAATAACAGAAGTAGAAAAGTTACACTCCACCTATTCCTATTAAAACCTCATTCAATGAAAAATAATAATGCCCCTGCGTTATAGATCCTGCAAGGCTTTGCATCAAAAAATACTGCACAAAACCAGTGCTATCAGTGCAATTCAATACCTCGGCTCTAGACTAGGGGTGGAACGGTTCACAAAATCTACGGTTCGGTTCACGGTTTCGTGGTCACGGTTTTCGGTTCGGTATATGTTGATTGTTACCCCGAAATCCCATAAAAATTTATGAAATTAATGAAAATATCCAAAAAAATGTATGAATTGTAATTATTTTTAATGATCCACGGAAACCCTGGATCATTTCCGCATGTTTTGCTGCTTTGAATTTAATCATCTCGCGCATGCCCTCTACGATCTCCAAGGAACTCAGAGCGGAGCAGACGGGAGCCACAGCGGAGGCTGTAGCCTTTGCTTTGTGCAGGCGGTCTGGAGCGCAGCGGGGCGGAGCGGAGCGCTGACGGAGTATGTGGGATTTCGGGGTTAGCCTGACATGTTGGTCATGTTGCTGTTAGCATAAACAGAACGTGTTGCACAATGCTTGCACACTGTTGCACTTTTATCCACAACTTTCTTTCCGCCGTCATCGTAGGTCACTCTAAATGCAAAGCGGTCCCATACAGCAGACCTATAAAGTGCTGCTGGCGCGTCTTCCCACCCCTGTTCTTTCCCACTCACCATACCCACACAATTCTCAACAACAATTGATTTTTTTCTGCTACACTCGCTTTTTCTTCTTCCTGTTTACTACTGGTGGTTGGCTTTGGTCGCAGTACCGCCACCTTCTGCTCTGGAGTGTACACGCTTCGCCTATGAGAAAAAGGAGCCGCGCATGAACCGAACGCAATGCACGCGAATCGAACCGAGACAGTCAAACCGAACGGTTCGGACGGTTTTCATAAACCGTTCCATCCCTACTCCAGACGTCCCCGCCCCCTCCACAGACGCTCCGCTGCACCTCTCCCAAATTGTAGCTGACAGCAAACAGTGCCGCAGACAGGAGGTCGACTTGTTTTGTTTTTATGACTGAAATTGCGGAAAACAACTCGAGAGGTTTGACCCGCTAGAAGAGCGAGGTGCGCGAGAACGCTGGGACCCTTTTTCCACCTGGATCTCCGCTCTTTTTGGCCCTCATGTCCCTCCGTCGTCGGACTAAACTCCCCCCCCCCACTTCCTCTCCGCCTTGGCCGTATCTAGACCCACAGCGTGTAGCACAGACCACGCTTCAATATTGAGCATAAATCAAAAATGTCTTTGTCAAGCTCAGTGCAACACACTACTGTAAGAGTATAACCAGGAAGCGCGGTAGGAGGGCAAAATAGGTTTAGCGCCACCGCAGCACGGGAGGAGAATTACGCCCAGGAGCAAATGGATAAAAATAGACCGGAGTAAAAAAAGAAAAAAACATTGATACTTTTGCGGACGTATCGATGCATCGGATCGTCGGCTGTTGGATCGATGCATCGATACAAAACGATTATTATTTACACCCCTACTGTTAACTCACATCTAGCAGGGTGTGGAGGTGCTGATCCTGGAAGACGCTGTGCAGAAAGTCCATATCTTTCTCACTGCAGTCCGTCAAAGCATGAATCTCCTCCAGACTGTCCAAAACCTGCGACACTGCCCCTGAGCACACGTCAATACACACATTATACAATCAAATTTACACTTAGCCGGAAATGAAAAACACAAAGACACCAAGCAATCCCTTCAAGCATTTAGCACTGCAAACAAAAAGGCAAAAAAAATTAAATACTCGACAAAAAACAAACATCTACACAAACACAAGGGTTGCTACACAACAAGCAAAGGAGAAGAAAAAAAAAAGCCACACAAAGCACAGAACTAGGAGTCACAACACAGACACATACACAGACAGAACTATTTAACCCCAAGTACCTGCTGCATCGCCCATACATGCAGCAAAACCAGAGAAACAGCGGTACATGGCATCAATAGAAAAATCAGAGGAAAGTCACTTCAAAAAGTCACAGTGTAGGATCAGGGGCTGTGGGTGATACACTCCAGAAAAATCAATTAGGAAACAATTGGGATCAGATTCATGGATTCTATAAAACCTCCAAGGAAAACAGAAACTGCAGAAGAATATAGGACTCAAACACGTTGAACTTTTGGCACATTTGTGGAGCTAAAACCTGAAAACTTCAAGTTATTGAGAGACTTAAACAGAGGAAGAAAAATAAGACATGATTTAACGTTTGTTATAAAAACCCAACTATAACATTGAAACTAATTGTATTCCTTTTAGAGCAAGTTTATCGGGGGATGTTCAGAAAGACTACCATGCTAGCTCATATTTTTCACCAAACGGCTCAAGCAACATTAGTTTGTTTGTTGTTTTTTTTTTATTCTGTAAAAACTATCTCTTCAAGATTTGATTCAGATTTAGAGTTTTGGTTTCAATCTGTACTTTAACTGGGCCATTCTGGCAGGTTCCAGCGTGGGTATGGTGCGTTTCTCACCACACACACATGAAAACACCAAGCATGTTCTTTTACATGTCCTTTATGATCTGTGGTTTTCCTCTTTCATACAACTGCTTTGTCCTGCGGCCCGTTTCCCCTATGCTGCCGTTTAAGTTAAGAGTCTGCAACCTACTGCTACAAAGTTACTCTTAAATAAGTCAAATCCATTTTTTTAACTTTAAAAGCAATAAGAAAACATGATTTTATAAGTATTTTCTGTTTGATTTCAATAGCTGCATAAAAAAACCTACATTAGTAGGTAATTTAATGTTTTCTAGCTTCCAACTTCAAACTATCCTACTGAAGTTTACCCTACAAAAATACTACCGTTTAAAAACACTTTTGTAAAAGTTAGAGTATCAACTTGAGCTTTTTATTAAATTTAAAGTTTAAAAGTACCGTTAAAACTACTTAAAAGTATTTAAGTAAAAGTAAACAGATTGTTTAATGCACTATTAAAGAAACATTTTTAATCAGTTCTGGATAGTAACATCTTTAAACTTAATTTTCTTAGTTTTATAACTAATGGTAACAGTGTTGAATTTAACTTTGCATCATCTTGAAAAACTTATTTTTTTTTATCCTCATCTAAGTTTTATCTCCCCTTTTATCTCCTCTTTCTTTCTTTTTTTCTAATTTTTACCTTTCCTGTTCTACTTACATTGCAGTGTGTATAAAATCTGTAAAACTCTCTGCATAATTATGATAAAGCCAATAATATGCATAAATCAAGCGGAGCACTAAGGCGATAGCCGTACTGCTCCACTTGTGAAAGCAAAATCTGTTGGGCCCTTTTTGGCATCAAGACAGTTATTCTTATTGCCACTTTTTTCTTTTTTTCTTTTCTTTTTTTAGTATGTGACGAGCAACAAATTGGGGTAGCACCGAGTCTGATCACAAAGAAATGGGTTGTCTGGATGAAACAAATTATTTTGATGGTTTTTATTTATTTCTTTAATACCAACGGGCCATAACGAAAATGAACTTTAAAGAACCAAAACTAACAAGTCAATATTTAAAATGTAAGGAGTAGAAGGAAAAAGTTAAATAAAAAAATAATTACTCTAGAATAGATACTACTTAAATGTCAACTTAAGGTAACAAGGTATTTATACTTTGAAGAATACTAAAACACATTTTTTTAGGATTGCCTTCGACTGCTCTAGTTAAACAGTTCAACTGAAAGATCATTAGTTCAACTTTTTTATTTTCTTTAGTCCACTTACTTGCTTTGATTCTGTTTTATTTTCCTATATTTTAATGATGTAAAGCACTTTGCATTGTCTTTATACTGAATTGTGCTATACAAATAAATTTGCCTTGCCCTGCCTTGCCTATGTCTCCCGCTCACAGAGGTGTCAAGCAATAATTTCCACACTATTCCACACTACACTATTTAGAAAAACTTTTAAGCAGCAATAGGAAGAGCTGCTGTTGTCTGGTTGAGATGGACACTCATGTCTTCATAGGTTCTACTCTATTTCTATGTTCTTGATGGATTAAACCACTCTGAGCTGTTCAAAGCTTGGCATATTGATCCAAAACCCAACTCTTTATAAACATTCTCCCTGAGAGCTAAACCCTCCCAGAACAGCTGGATTTCAACCACGAATAAATTCCACATCAATTAATCCAGTAACCTCTAAAGGCAATTAAACAATGCAAATGCGTGCCATTTATAAGAATAAAATGGAAACCACGCATTATTTCCCTTTAACTTCACAGGATTTCTTTAGATTAATTGGCTGTAATGTGATAAAATGTGTAAAAGTTTAAAGGTCAATTAAATTCAAAGAGTTATCTGGTGATACATGCTAACTCTTTTCGCTGTTTTAAGGTGAAAACACAATGCATGAGTGTTGGATGAAATGGGATTTCGTTCACTTTGTTAACTAAATTGCAATTAAACAAGTCATCTAAACTCCCTCGTTGAATTTTGAAGTTAAAAGTAAAAAGATGATTAAAAGGATGGCTAATTTAATAATGGAAGCCAATGTTACATTGGAGGTCAAACCAAATACAGCAGGAATTAGCATGCAGATTTATTCATCATTGACAGCAGGAACACTTCTTATGTAGCTGTTTACATGCATCATGTAACTCTTCTAGGTTCAATTCATATTTCCTCTTTCAAAGTGTGAATTAAAAAAAAAAAACTCATTGCAAACTGAATAATGACGATGCATGTAAAAAGCAAGTTATCTTTGCAGTAAAAGAAAAATAAATTATTTGAAACTTTTGAAAGGAAAGAAAAATAAAAGCTGAGGGAGACACGGGAGGATGGATTTAGTGTTTGCATCATTCAACACCAACATAAAGGAAAATGCATCTATAATGCAAGTGATGAGAAAACTCAAAGACTCAATGGGTGGGGAGGAAGATACGTACTTTCAGCAGCTAGCAGTCCTAGAGACAGCAGAGCGGAAGAAAAACACCACAAAAAGAGAGGCTAATATTAGAGGTTTGCTGCAAATGTAGATTTTTGTGTTTAACGCCTTAGAAGGAGAGAGGAAAGATAGAACACAAGAGAGGCAGCAGTGTGCGGAGAGGAGGAGGGGAAAATAAAATAAGAGTAGCTGCTTAAATGCTGGTGGGATCTACAACCGGTCGAGCCAATGACCCGTCTGCTGCTCTAGAAGTGCAAAAATAAACCTGCAGGAAGCATAATTGCAACAGAGTGCCAACCTCAGCAGGACTGACATATTTGATGCTTTTGGTTTGTCTGGCTGCAACAAGTGGTTGAGCCTTTCATTCGGCGCTGCTAAGAGAAAAAGGGTTCAGCATGCCATATAGGGCTCTTTTTATCACAGGAAGTGAAAGTCCAAGTCGAAGACAAAGAAGGTGGTTTGGTAACAGATGTCTCCCTTTAAACAGGGAAGTCCTTCACATACAGCTGACTCTCACAAGATGCAACTGGAATAGAAACCAGAGTTGCTCAAACTCAGCCCAAAAACCTTACATATTTTTGTTTTCGTTTTTTTTTATGCATAATCATATCGATACGTTGCATCACTGACCCTGACATCATGGCAAAGCTAGAAATTTCTGGAATTACGTGGCGACGGTGACGACAGCGACATTTGGTGGTTTCGGTGGAGGTTGTGCGATCGTTCGGAGAGGAGGCTCGTCTAAAACATGTTTACCTGAGGAGGTGGGGTCATCAGAGAAGTCGTGGAGCTCCTCAGGGGGGTCCCCATAGTAGGAGTTAAATTTGTGGCTGGACACAGCAGCCAGCACTGCACCCTGGGAAACACAGAGATCAACCATGAGGTGCAAAGAGCAGCGGAGGTGACACTTCCTCCTAGTGCACATAATGCTGATTCTGCTGATGTCTAATCTTGTTCTAAAATCAGCACTCTGCTGACCTTCAGCTTCCTCCTGGCGTTGAACTTCCTCAGCTGTTCCACAGTCTCAGGAAGATGGATCTTGTAAGCATACCTGTCCCTCTCCTGGAGTATAAAACAAAGAAAAAACAAACAAGAACAAGCGTTAAGACTAAAGGATGTGGAAGCACAGCTGTGGTTTTTAAGCAGAAGAGTGTTATGGGTTTTTTTTTGAGTCAGCATCAGAAAGGCCAGTGCTTGAAATGTTAGTCGAGCCGCCAAACTTTACTCATAGTACAAAAACCAAACACCTGCTACTCATTTTGAACCTTTAAAAGATACTTGACCTGATTTAAAATACGGTTACCACCAGCAACCTGAGAGTGTGTTTGTGTGTGAATCGGCTCACCTTCAGCCAGGGGTGGTTCAGAGCCTCGTACACTGTGATTCTCTCTGCAGGGTCCAGCATCAGCATGCGCCTCACCAGATCCTTGGCGCTCTCTGAGATGTGAGCCCACTGCCGTGGGTTCATCTGCACAAGTCCACAGGAGGACAGACACATTTACAAACACCGGAAACTATCAGTGCTATAATAGAAAAACTAGTTAAAAAAATGCATTTATTCTGAAAATCCACGACTTTTATTTGACACCACCTGAAGTAAAGTTGTTTATAAGAGTCCAGTAGTGTGCTCCAATGTAAATAAAATGATGGCTTGAAAATAAAATAGTCTTAGCAAAATTAAAATGCCTTCAGATGTTGGTTAATAAATAACGGCCAAGTAAACAAACGGCACAATTTTGCAGGTTAGTTTGAAGCAGCAAAAATATCCAATGCTAATAAGCTAAACTGGCAAAGAAAGCTTTGATCAGGGAAACAACATGGAGGACTGAGGTAAACCTGGAGGAGCTGCAGGGACCCACAGCTCAGGTGGCCTAAACCTGGACAACAGATTTTAAACTCTTAAGGCCTTTGACTCATAGCCTCTGTAACCGCCAAATCTGTCTCTGTGCACAGAGGTTCTACAACCTTCGTCGTGCACCTTTTTTTTTCCTTTCTTATTTTTATTCTTTTAATTTTATTTTTATTCCTTGCATCTTTTCCTCCTTGTTTGCACCTTCTTTAATTACTATGCCAATATGTGACCAATGAATTTCTCAGCTGTGAGATCAATAAAGCTCATCTAATCTAATCTAATCTAAAAATCCTGACCACACGTCGGACGGTCGTAAACTCGCGGAGACCTCAGGCAGAAGTGCGCAGACAAAAAAGCAGCTGTTATTGGTCCTTGGTATGCCTTTCCAGCTGTCTGTGTGGTTGTTCTTCTCGATTCGGTGGCCGGGCGCGTCATTTTTAAAAATCGGGGAACAACTAGAATAGGCAACTACGACCAAAGGTTAATCGGTCTTTTTGTGAACTCCACTAACAGAACCTGTTCCTCTTCAATGTCTAGCAATTATAGATCCATCTATGTGACCGTGATATCTTGCAGACGCGCCATTGTTGTTTTGGAAGATAAACACTGCCACTGGCGCCGCCGAAGTTCTTGTGAGTTCTCGAATAGGCTCCCCCTTGTGCTTTGGCAGGAAACTGCTTTGCGTCCCTAGAAATTCCACACCTATGGTGCAGAAGCATACCAGCAAAACTGGTTCGCGACCACACCCAAGCGACATTTGATGTGTGCGGTTGCATAAGTCTAATCTGCCCTTTAGGAGATCAATCACATTGATCAGATGATTTTTTATAGCCTAAGCCTTATGAGGTGGATAAACACAATGCACCACCCCCATATCAGGGAAACATGGCTGTGGAAGCTTCTCTTCAGAAAAAAATGGAGCGCAGGCGTGCTTTGGTGGCGCAGTGGTTAGCTCGCATGAACCATGTACGGGGGCCTTAGTCCTTGACATGGGCGACCCAGTTTCAAATCTGGCCTGTGGTCCTTTCCTACACGTCTCTCCTCTCTCATACCCCCTTTACAGTCAGCCTACTGTCGTGAAAACGTGCCACTAGGGCCGTAAAAACTCAAAAAAGGGAGCGCTAGCGATTTATCCAAGCTCCATCCTGCTTCCCTCTAAAAACAGGAGCAAAATACACAGTAAAACCTGAAAAACCCCTGAAAATAGAGCAGAAACTGATATGGTAAACAAAAGCTGACGCAAAATTTCTTGGAATAAAATTTGAACATAAAACATAAAAACAAAAACCTCCAGATTCATTGCTCTAACACCAGTAGACAAACCTTGGAATGTAATTAAAGTTGGTTTTACATTCTTACCATTAAATCAAAATACAAAATGACATAATCGGGTGATTATTTTTGAATTGTCCGCCTCATGTAACCTTTGTGGTTCGACTAATGTGAACTTTTCTGACATAATTAAAAGCTCAATGTGATGCGAAATACTTCAAAGTTATTTTTGTAATGCGTCTAATGAGCACATCCAATATGTCTGGGTATTCTGTCTGTGGATTCTACCTTGTATTTGCCCTTAATGATGGCCTCAAACAGGCGCTCCTTGGTGCCATAGAAAGGCAGGCAGCCAGAGAGCAGGATGAAGAGGATGACACCACACCCCCACACGTCCACAGGTTTACCGTACGGCTCCCTCTTCACCACCTCTGGGGCCATGAAGTGAGGCGTCCCGACGCGACCTGACGGCAGCAGGGAGGAGAAAGAAAAAAGGAAAAAAAAAAAAAGATAAAGCTGCATCTATGTGGAAGTAAGAGTGGAAATGAAATCAGATGCATTAGTGCAAAGCTGCTTTGAAGATAAAGGCCCTGCCGGATGTGAAAATGCAACAGCTGCAGCAAATGCAGATTTGCACTGATTGGGTTTAGTTAGGCTAGTTTTTAGATTTAAAATGCAATTATTATTTTTTTTTTGTTAAAGCAGAAAAAGATACCTAGATTTAATAAACATGTTAAAGCATTAAATAAAATAATGGTATTTCTAACAAGTTGAACCAAGTGGGTTCAGAGGAAGAAAAGGAAGTGGGGGGTGATTGAGCTTTTTCTAAGCAGGAAAACAGAAGTGTGCATAAATGGGGGCAAAAGTAAAAGGAAACTAAAATATTTGTACAGTTTTTCTGCTTATTTTCAGCTGTTTCTTCCTCCACAGCACAAATCCACGCACCTGCAGCAATAAAGTTTAAAGGCATTTGTTTTACAATCACATACATTTAAGGAAAGTTCATGATTGTAATGATCATTCTGTGCATGTTTTTATGCATCTTACTAATATGGGGATTTCCTTGATTAAATTTAAAGTTCTGTTTGCAAGGTGGAAACTCTATATAACACTAAACATCTGGTATTCCTTAAAAACCGAATAGAGGATCCCAGGTTCTAATTTCATATAAGAGTGAAATTATATCAAGACACTAAGGGTGTTTCCACACCTGCAGCTTTAGGTTGACCTAAATTTAGTCCCGTTTGGGTCAGTTTGAAAGCACGATCGGGACTCTGAGGTGAGACTCCACCCTGCAAGTGTGTACATTGAGCTCTGTTACTTTTTTAGCAACTCTTCCAGATTTCAGCTGGTTATCATGCAAGTGTGATGCTGTCTGAATACTGCAGCAATGTGGTTCCAACTGACAAAAAAAAAAAAAATCTGGTGTGAAAGCAACCATGCTAACTAAAAAAATGAAACGCTGTATAATTTTAACATTCATAGCTGCAAAAAACGTGTGAAACGCTCCATATTATCATTAAATACCTTCGACTAATATGCAAACAAAAGGTTTCTTACTGTAGATCCGGCTTTTAACCACAGCAGTCGCATTCTTAAAGGTTTTTTGATGCATTAGACATTTGTTTACTAGTTTTAATGAGTACTGAGAATCATTGTGTTGTTGAATCACAGAGTTATTCAGTTCAACCCTCATTTGAATAATCTACCCATCATTGCGACTAAATAGCTCAAACATTAAGTTCCAACTTAAAAACGTTTCCCAACAAGAGATCCTGTCTGTTATGTGGGCAGCTGCAAATGCGCTATTTTCTTTTATTCGTCTCCTTCTCTACACATTTCTAAGTTTAAAAAGTGACATTTGTGTTAAAGAAATAGTTGGTTCAACACAGGTTGGATCATCAAAGATTCCTGCATAAGAACGGTGCTAAAGAAAAAAATCCAGTCAGAATTAAAGCAAGCGTGCTAATGAAATACACAGAAACTTCAAACTTAAATCTCTTGTTTTAACATCACAGTCTAATTGTCTAATAATTCCACCTTAAAAAACAAGTGTAAATAAAAACAAAACATTATTCCAGTGTCATAATCAGCTAATTCAATAGAGGATTTAAAAAGTAGTGTTTTTCTTAATAGCGATAATTCTGCCAACATTTTCTAATTTTCCTGATGTAATAATCTATGCTTAAATGCTGTGTAATTATTAGCTATAAGCAGAAATTACTGTGATACACAGAGGTAGGAATTCAAGACATCCTTCTGTATAACTAGCCTATGTAATGTGTTTAACAATATATAGTGATATAGTTTCCTCTGTTGAGTGGTTCTGCAAAAATATATATATAATAAATAACAATTTTTTTCTTGAAATAGGTTCATTTGTTCTGCAACTCTTTCACTAGATGCCATAAAAATTCAACTTTCGGTTACATTTGATAATCTAATCAACTTTAAACTTTAGATTTTCCTTTATTTATTAACTGTATGGACGTCTACGGTGAGGCGTGATGCTCTGTACCTCCAGCTACTAAACCAGACTCTCCCAGCTGGATTGCAACTCCAAATCCTCCCAACTTCACTGGAGCAGAGTTCTCTTTTGAAGCCAAAAGCACACAATGAGGCTGCAAAAGAATAAAAGAAATGCATCAAAGAGGACGAACTGAAAGACAAGTCAAACTGCAGACAGGGTAAATGTGGACCAAGGGTCTGATGGATTAAAAAAAAAAGAATTGATAGAACAGCATTAAACCACATTTTCCTCAGCTGCTCTCTGCAATCTGCTGAGCGTTGCGTTTCTGGTTCTTTGCAGAAGTGCATGGTGTTTACGTGCTGTAATGCTTTGCACCTTAGTTTCATATGACAAACGAGAGAGAGAGAAGAAAAAAAAAACAGGCTTCTGCAGGGAACCATAATGTTGACACCATGCTTTTGAAACTGGGTGAAGTTTTCAGATGTTGATAATGGAGTGCATTAATTAAGCTGTTGGTTTGTTGCGTTTTGTTTCCATTTAATGTCTCCCTCTTAATGTCAGGCTGTGTTTTGTTTTAGCTCATTAGTTGAATTCAATTCACTACTTTGAAATACCATTAACTCATCACTTAGGATACTTCTTTTTAAACAAAGTAGTTTTAACACTAATGTAAATGGATCCATTTCAACATAATATGCATAAACAGGTTTTAATGCATAAAAAATTACCTTAAAAGTTAGAGTATATCCTTATACTATTTAAAAATATAGTTACATTAAGCAGCTTGTTTAGTTTGGCTTTTGCAATTTTTAAAGAACTGACCAGGCTGAGTCAGGTTTAAAGGCGCTCAGAGGGATTTATAGCCCCAGTTCTTATCACACCCCTCACTTTGCAGAAATGACCTCATCAGCCACCTTTGCTTTTCTAAAATAACCAAGGTGTAAAAAAGCTGTTAATTTCTTACTTTCCATATCTAAAATAAATCTCAAATCCTAACAATTCAGTCTTAAAAACTGAATGGCATATTTAGTTAGCCCAGCGCTGGGTACTTTTACTTTACGTCGCTGACAATTGTATGCAACTTTCAACAATCCAACTGCGATTATAATGTGAAGTTTGAGCATCTGGAAGCATTTAATCTGGCAGCAAACAAAATGCAATTTTCTATTATTTTGAAATCACAGAGGTCCTCAACTTTGATCATGTTACATTTATTAAGACTAAGAAACTGCATCTTTTGCACCTTTTTCCACATACTACCTCTTATTGCTTATATTTAAGCTAGGGATGCACGATATTGGGATTTTGGCCGATATCCGATATGCCGATATTTTAAAACTCATGTAGCCGATAACCGATATTGATACTGATGTTAAAGCTGGACAAAAATAAGTAGTCATTGAAAATAGCAGTTTTGTTATCCATTTCTGACACTTTGAAAAATAATATACTCAAATATATTTTCATATGCTGATATCAAATTGATTTTTAAAAACGCGGTATTGATCTATTTTACTTTCAAAATCTCGTGAAATTTCATCGTTCTGTTACAAACTCTCGTGATATTTTGCAAATTCTTGTGAGATTTTGTCAGTAAAATAGATCGATACCGCGTCAATATATCAACATATAAAAATATGGCAAATTTTCGGGGGACTTCGTAGCATAACGATGACATATAGCAATATTTCATTAGTAAAATAGATTGATATGGTGTTTTTAAATGGCAATATATCAGCATATGAAGATATTGTGATATTTTAATGTATCAATATTGTTGTCTTTTAGAAGTTTTTAAGTCTGTAAAAAAGAAGTTTTTGAGGAAGAAGAAGAAGTAGTATTTTTTTTTTTTTTTTTGACTTTAGAAACTCAGAAGCTGATCAAATATCGGGTTAAACATCGGTGGGGTGGCCGATGTCCGATATTCAGTTTTAAGGCCGATACAGGCCGATACCGATAGGGGGCCGATTATATCGTGCATCCCTAATTTAAGCCACTGGTTAGGTTGCGTTAATATATTTAAAGTGAGTTTGCTGCAAGAAAAAAAGAAGAAACTTCCAGATGGCAAGCAGATATATGCATGTAAGTAGAAATAAACACTTTTCCAAAAAGAGGCTACAGTAAAGTCTTGCAACAATGAAAGTTTGGACAAGAAAAATGTAAAAGGAAACGTAAAAAAACTGAATCCCTGGAGTGATACATCTACATGTGTTTGGTTTGTGAAAAAGAAAATCACAATTATTGAGTAAAAATAGTCGCAATTTGGATTTTTGTCAAAATCATTCAGCCCTACTGAACGAAATTTTACATTTCTGGTGTCACATGTATATTTTTTGTGCTTCATAAATTAAAATCAACCATATATTTAAACTAAAAAAAGCTAATTATAGTTCATAAATTCTAACCTTGGGGGAAAAAATAACCCAAAAATCAAATAAATTCTTAAAGCTTTAGTCCTCATTATGAGATTATTAGTTGTGTTGGTAGTATTTGTACATTAAAGTATTGAATTTTGCTGTTGCTATCATTATCTGTGTGAAATTCCTCCACTACGTCCATCAGCAGGTGGATAATCCCTGCAAATTTCACTCTAGTTTGGTGCTTAAACAAATACAGATTAACGCAGTGTTGTTGGGTAAACAAGTCAGAACATTTGGAAATAGAGCAGGGCTAAACGCATCGGCGGGTCGCTATTATTAGGTCGTCAAAACTGCTTAAGCCTGCAAAGTGTTAATTTTACACAAAATTTAACAAGAAAAAAACACCTTAAAAAACTGTATCGTCACTTTGTGCAAACAGTCCCAAGCAGGATAATGTGGGATCATGATTACAGAGGGAAACTGATAGTTGATAATAGTTTTTAATTGATGTGTGAGGGAAAAAAAGGTTTTCATGAAAATAATCCTTTGTCGGGCTGGTGGTGGGTTTTACTTCCTGCAACATACTGGGTAGCGCCGGTGGTGGGGGGAAATGCTTACAGATTCTGCAAGATACATAAACGAAGAATGAGTGAGAGAGGAAAAAGAGAAGCAGAGACAAGAGGACTGACAGTCACCGACTGATCAGATCCGTGACAGAGAAGGCAGCGAATACGCTGCTGGAGTGACTCATTTACAGACTGCAGATAAAGGTGAAGTCTGCCAGAACTTGGCTGCTTGGTCCAGTTGTGCGCCTGGGTTGACAACTGCTCTGCTGGGGGGGATTTACTGCACTTTGTTTTCCAAGAAAACCGATTCTCTACCAATCTGATGGAGGAAATCGCCCACCAGAACACTGCTGATCCACATCCATTCTGTGCCACCTTTAAACCACAGCTGAACTAAGCCTCGCTTCAAAGACGCATAGATGGTAAGTTCTTACCCTATAATAAGCGTTAACTTCAGCTTAAAATGCATTCAAACTTGGTGACTTTATTAGAAAGTTTAAATGCAGAGCAGGAGCTTCCAGTCTGCAGGGTGCTTTCCCTTTTTAATGTCAAAGATACCTTTTGGTTTACCGTATCGCAGGAGGATTACAGGGTAAACTTTGCAAATTTGCTGACCTATTACTCACTTGTTTGAACATTAGTTTCATAGCATCATAGGTCTGGTTAAAAGTGACTATTTTATGTAAAAGCAAAACTGAGCTAACCACAAGTTTCTGCTCTCTCTCTCTGCAGAGCGTGCTGCTGAATATCCTTGAACTTGTCACAATCAACACAAAATGACCACGCCGCTGTTACCTGGAAGTTCTCTACCACCTAACACTTCCTTCTCTACCTCACCGGCGTCCATATCCGTTTCCGTGCCGTCCTTCCTGCAGAGCAGCTCCCCATTTGTTACCTCCAACGCCACGCCGCCTAACTGCGGTGGGAACCCCTCCCTCAGTCTGCCACTGGCCGGTTTCTACATGCTGTTCTTTGTTTTAGGGCTCTTGGGGAACCTGTTTGCTCTGTGGGTGTTCCTCTTTGTGCACTCTCGCCATAATTCGGTGCGTGTGTTCCTCATCAACTGCGCTGTGGCAGATCTGGTCCTCCTGGCGTGCCTGCCCTTCAGGGTGTTTTATCATCTCAATGGAGACAAATGGGAATTGGGGCGGGTGGCGTGCAAGCTGGTGGGCAATGCCTTCTACATGAATATGTACATCAGCATAACGCTGCTGGGCCTCATCAGCCTGGATCGATACGTGAGGCTGAAGGGGAGAGGACAGGGTAGGCAAACCATATGGAGGAGGCTGCGTGGGCGCGGGCAGCTGTGGGGCTGGGTGGTGTGCGGGAGCGTTTGGAGCTTGTTTCTGGTCGGAACGCTGGCCATGATCATAACGCCTGAGGACAATCCGAACGAAGAGGACAAGAATCATTGCTTCCAGTACAAGAAGCGCCGTGACGTCGCTTGGAAGGCCTACGTTAATGGAGGATTGGTTCTGCTCTTCTGGTTGGTCTTCATTCTACTGGTCATCTCTTACGCCAAAATCGCCTCTCAGTTGTTTCAGTTGTCTCAGAACAGGCCTGAGCTTCCTAACGCACAGAGATACAAGAAAACCGCCAAGAAATCCTTCTTTGTCCTCTTTCTGTTCACGGTCTGCTTTGCACCGTACCATGCCTTCCGCCCTGTATACATCCTATCCCAAATGAGCTCCGAAGACGACTGCAACTACCAAAAGATGATAGACCGCACCAATGAGATCATGCTCCTGCTGTCCACCTTTAACAGCTGCTTGGATCCAGTCATGTACTTTCTCTTGTCCGGCTCAGTGCGCAGAACCGCTCTCAAAGTTATTGGACATCGGTTCGGCAACCATCTTCCCTTCCTTCAGGAGGGAACATACAACAGCTCCACCATGGAGTACAGACGGCCGTCTGTGCCGCTGGCTTTACACGACCAAGTCCTCAACAATCCTTCACTCACACCCAGAACCAGCTTCTGCATCATTAACACCAACCTCCGCCGTACAGGAACTACACTTACTCCCTCTGGCCACTAGTGATCAAAGCTCATCAGATTGTGTCATGTTAGAACTCTCAAAGCATAACTACACGCTAAAGGCTAGTTGATTCTAAGCCGCTCAAATTTCAAAGAACGTTACAACCTTTACGTCGCTAGTTTTTATTAATAATTATATTGTTTTTCTGTAACGAAAATACTAGAACTCACGTGCATGGTCTTTGCTTTTCAAATGGTAATATTTGTTTGGAAAAACAGATGTTTGAAATTGTATTTTATTTTTTTTATTTTTTTTTGTTCAAATATAAAGTTGTATTCCATTCATTTTTACCTTAAGTATTAAAACAGGATACAAACAAAGAATAGAAAGCTGCAGTTCTCTTATTAAAATTAAAAAAAAAACTTGATCCGGTGTCAGAAAGGAAATACAGACTGCGAGGTTTCTTCAATTCACCGCACTCTGCTGCAGATACAGCATTAGGTTTTTTTTCTGAGGGGGCTTCTACCAGCTTTGCACTCGAGTTTTCCCCAACAGCTGAAGTTCAATCCCACGGGATGGAGATTGTCTGTGCACATCAACTTTTAGGCCTCGTCATACATTCTAAACCGAACTAAAATATTAACTTTGACATATCGCCATATAATAATGCAGCTGCATCCTTGTTTTGCATATGGGTGGTTTTTAGGACAAAAGGTTCAGTTTTGTGGTCTCCTTACTGAACTTTGATGCTATCTCTGCATCTCTAGTTGTGTTTCCATTACAAATGTGCGTAAAACTATTTGCTAATTTCTAAAATGCATATTAAATAAGTCATAGAATTTCATATGAATATGTTTTTTGACACCATAACTCTTAAAAACAGGTAAAAAAATACATGGATATAACCACATGAGATATGTTCGTATTTCAGCCACAGCTCTATTGCTCATCATCAGTAATTATACGTAAAAAGTAGTCTAACGAATCCAAATATAGCACGTCTTCATCCTCAAACAACCTCTAGTCTTCCTCTTCTTCTTTGTCGTTGTAAAAGGCAGTAAGGTCTACAGATTGTGTCAATCGTGATGCAAAAAAAAAAAACTGTTTAATGCAACCGAAAAACACCCAATGTGTTAAAACGTGTGCTGTACTTCATTGGCATAGGTGTCAAGTAAAGTACAAATACTTTGTTACTATACTTAAGTACACTTTTTAGCTATCTATACTTTACCTCATTACTTTTTTTTCTTCCTACTTCTGACTTCTACTAATTACATTTTCACACAAGAATCTGTGCTTTCTATTTCTATTTGCATCTGGCTGCTTTTTTTTAAGGGTACTTTATACTTTTATACTTCAAATAGTTTTTGCAGCACATACTTTTTCACTTTTACTTGAGCAAAGAGGTCAAGTTGATACTTCAACTTTTACCAGAGTGTTTTTAAACTGCAGTATCTATACTTCTACTTAAGTAACAAATGTGTGTACTTTTGACACCGCTGGTGGTTAACGCGCACAAGTCATGTGCAGATTAGTGTTTCGTCAAGCAAGTTTATTCACGTAATTACAATCTGTACATTTTGATGGTTACTGGAAACGCAGCTTTAGATGATATCAGCCACCTTCAGTTCAGCAGAAACGTCTCAATGTTTTTTTAATTGTGACATTCTCTTCAGTTAACTCCTGAATTATTATAATATGACATCACAAACATGTGAACTTTCCCTTTTATTTAGGTAAAAGTTAAGGGCAGGCAAAACTTTATTTATCCCAAAAAAGAAAAAGTACAAAACAACATGAATTTAATAAAACTGAAGTTTAAAGTCATATTCTCACTAAATAACTTAAGGTTCAGGGGTAATAAATTCTATGGAAAGAATATATAGTAGTTTTTTAGACCAATGCTTTTAATTATTTACATGTATTCCTAAAATAAAGCTTCTTCCCGGATATCAACTAAATAGACACACAGCTTGCACTTTTTATTGTCATCATTTCAGAGTTGGCAGCAGTGACATTCTAGTTTGACCAAAGTCGAGTGTTTAGAGCTTTACAGGCTAATTTACTCATTAAGATTAACCCAGTGGCTAAATCTCACCTTTACATCTCGATGAATCACATTGTTGTCATGGCAATACCGAAGGGCCTCCAATATCTGCCTCATATAGTGGCTGCAAAGGAAAAAAAAGGAGAAAGCGAAGCATGTGGGCGGGGGGCATATTAAGGATAAAAACACACCTTTTTTTGTAAGTTGCAACAACTTCTTCAATTGCATGTCCTACCTCGCCACAGCTTCACTGTAGACGAATCCAGCATCAGCTCGCTTTACAATTTCGAAACACAGGTCAGCGCCATCCATACTGAGAGAGAAAGAAGGTAATCAACTTTTTTTTTAAATACCTTTTTAAAACCTGATTGGAATAAATTCATGCACACATAAATCTGGAATCCATCTTATAACTAAAATAACTACTAAGAATTAAAGTTGGAGATTAAATGTTAAGTCCCCCGGCCTCTTAAGGCTGTGCAGGCTTGTTTTGTTATGCAGGCTCAGTATTTTTTTATTGCCTACGAAAAATGCAAAACAGAGGCTTTTAAGATAAGATAAGAGAGACTTAATTGAGATGGACTACTGTTAGAGAAATTCACTTGTCACATCGGCTCAATAGTCAAAATAAGGTGCCAAAAAGGAGGAAAAGGTGCATGGTGGATGTACAGTGTTATATATATATATATATATATATATATATATATATGTATAGATAACAGTCAGATTCTTATTCTTAGGGTTATGGCACAGGGTATTAAATAGTGATTGCACTTTAGCTATTGCATATGTTATTGCACTTGTAGTGTTGCATTTTAAAAGTTTGCAGGGAACGTCTGGGTCTTGCAACTTGTCTTGTAAGCTGAATTACTCAGCCAAAACTACAACCATAAAAAATAAAAAGGACGAATTGCTAAAGTGAGTTATTACAGATTAAACTTTAAAGAAAAAAACTGATCAACTTTTATCTGATCCATTTAAAGCAGAGCATTTTAGAGGAATCAGTTTGTTTTATTTCAGCCTTTTTTAGAGCTTGGCACATTTTTCTGTAGTATCAAATTTGATAGGGTTAAATCATGAAAGTAAGAAACGAAGCTAACAAAAAAGGCAAGTAATTTAATAAAGATATGTGAAGGATAATTTGAGATACATTTTTAACATTCGATGTGTTCTGAATTGTTCTAAATCATTAAAATCAACTGCCACAAATTTGATAAATCATAATAAAGCATCCAATTTAATCCTAGCTGCACTGCTACACACTTAAGGTTAATATCTGATGCCAACTTGGCAAAGATTAGCCATTTCCATTTCATTATTTATTTTAAAAATATTCTAAAATAGAACGTCTGCCATCACATTTAAATAATCTATTCATAGCCATGCCTATTTGAAAAAATAACCGTGTGCTTATAAAGGGTGTCTTTCTCGTGGTTTGTCACTAGCTTTATGATGCACACAGTGAACAGCCTGCTTTATAAAGAGGAAATGAAAAACACCAAACATTCTGCATTCAGCTGATAAACTTAAATTTAGACTCTTTGTTGGTTTTGCTTCTGCGCTAAGTGTTACATGTACAGTTGCACTAAAATAAATAATATCTTCAATATGATACGGGGATCAGCCCCTGTGCTCTGTTAGAGCTCTGCATTTAGAACCAAGACGTACAATTCAAAGACCATGTAGAGCATGCCATCAGAGCTGTAGGTCTCCAGCAGCTCCACGATGTGGGGGTGTTTTAGCATGTGACAGATGCTGGCCTCTCGCTTCAGATCTGGAAGAGAGAAATTTAAATTTGGTTGTGAATAAAGACAATTTGTACTTAACTTTAGTACATAAACATGTTTTTCCCCCTTAAACTAAATTACAGATTATTGGTAGTGCACTCCCTGCTATTTATTTTTTATTTCAAACCACAGAAGGTCTGCCTCCCCTCTGTGTCACCACCAGAGGGGGATAAACGTTTCATTTAGTGAACAGCTTATCCATGGTAACAGCATGCACTGCTTCACAGACGATGAATAAGCTGACAGGACAAGAAGGAGCAGAAGCACCAAATTGGGATTGCACATCTGGTTCGTCTTCATCAACATCACCTCCTCTCATTGCTGCCGATTTACCAGATCATGACCGTTTCACCGTTTATTTAAAGTCTGGTGGAAGGTCCTCCCCCCTTCAAACGGAGGTGAAGGTGGTTATGAATTTTAAACGGGCTCAAACATACGCCGCAAATCGGCTCCAGCAGATTGAAACTGCAGTGGCAATCAGACAATGTGCTTTTGTTGAGTTTCTCAGTCCATAAAAACCTCATTTACACACTCCACTTCCTGTCTGCACGACTACTGATCTTTCCGTCGTGACAGTGCAAGGGACATTACGTAACAGAGAGATGAAACCCCCCCCTCTCAGACCACAACAGAGCCCCCATTCTCCTCCCCTTACACTCATCCTTTCTCGTCTCGTTAGTTATTCGTTCTGGAGTGTAACAATGCTGCCTAACGTCCACGCCGGCCTGAAACACTCTGAGAGACACTGATGCCCTCCTCTGGGCTGATTCCAAATCACTTCTTCCACGGGTGGTTCAGCCAGACTTTGCTGGCTCTGGGAGAATGAACTTCGAAGTGAACATTACAGAACAATCTGGCCATTCTGGCTTCGAGGAATACAGATCAAAAAACGGATCTAGGTTATTTTTCTATAATAAAAAACAAACCCAAAGATGGGAACATTATAAAGCACAAGTTTTCCTTTGAAAATGCATTAAATTAAATCTATGAAAACATATTTCTTTATAATCAATATAATTTTTTTCCATTCCTATTAGGTCTGAATAACGTAAAAAAAAATAAACAGCAGAGGAATTTTAACATTTCACTTTAGTACTAATGTGTGCTACTTGTTACTCAGTGCTTGAGCTTTCTTCATATCAGTGTCTGTGATTCACTGAGGGATGAAATTAGCCCCCAGCACGCCCATAGCAGCGTAGGCTCTAAAAGATACATCAGGCTCACAGCACCTTTGGTAAAGTACTTCAAAACTCCATAAAATACACCAAAAGTTAATTTAGCTTAAGTTATAGTCCAATTATCCTGCAGGTTTGGATGTTACTCATAATAAGGACACTCTAGACTGGATCAATGGCTGAAAAGAGTGAAATAAGAATTATTTTCTATAGGAAGGTGCTGGGAAATTCTTTTCCCATCCTTTAAAGTGTAAATATATCATCTTTTTCTCTTTCACCTCATTTAGTTCATTTCCTTGTCTTGCTGTTATTGGCTGCGGGTCTCATCTCTGGCAGTGGCGTCGCAGATGGCGCATAATGGACGCCAAAATACACACACAACAAACACCTCAGCTTTAATCTGCCTCTTTGACGAACCTGCGCAGCTCTCAGCGTGACAAAGCACAAAAACCACATGGCGAAACGAGCGCCGTGGCTAAAAATTACCATCGCCAACGAACCTCACGCAGGAAAAAAAAAAGGGGGGAGCAAACGTATGGTGTTTGAACAAGAACCTCGTCTGTGTGCAGTGTGTGACGTTCTGCTTGATTTGGTTCTGTGTGAAAACATGATTATACGCTCTCTTCGGGCCTTTTGTGTTTGATATCGCAGCCAGAGAGTATTTGTGGATTATTCCCAACGTTTGTTTTAACCCACAAGGAGAGCCAGGTGGGTGAGTTTATGTAACACCACAGTGAATAATCTGCAAGTTTTATTGGATATGTCCATTAAATTAGTTTCGGCTGGTATCCTCACCTTCTGTGCTGAGTCCAGGGCTGGATGTGAAGCTGGCCACATCGACTATCTTTACAGCGAACTGTTGGCCCGTGTCCCTGTTGATGCAGCGCCGGACCACGCTGAAGGGACCCCTGAAACACACACATCCCAGATCCATCAGAATCATCTTAAAAAGCATTTAAACCAATCCCCATGTGGAGCTTTCTGTGATTTTAATAATGCCACACATAAGCTATGGTGAACACACACCAGCTTGGTGCAATGAGAAGGAGCTTTACTGTTTCTGACATTCAGGATCTGCAGTGCGTGGTTAGCTCCACTACGTAGCCTCCATGCTTGTGCCAGTGAGAATTACAGTGCTGTGTGGTGCAGAGCAGCTGTGAAGTCTAAAATAAAGGCTTTATTACAGAGGGAAAAAAAACTTCCCACACAATTTCTTTCCAAGGTAAAGAAAATGGAAAACATTTATAGGCAAGTCTGTTCCCAACCACAGGTCCTAAAAAGCTTCATTCAGAAAATAGTCCTGAAGTTTGCAAAGAATTACAGTTTACAGTTTTTTTTTTACTCAACATATCAGGGTAACATCTGAGCAGCGCTGTAAACATGTTCATCTTCTGACTTTTTTCAAAAGTTTTCTTAAGCAGCCGCAAATGTTTGGAGGAAAGATGTTTCCGGCTAAAATGTGGACATAAGTCCGAACATAAGCACACCATCTACACGGTGATGGCAAAATTATGCTGGAGCTACAGAGGGATCCTGAAACAAACCTGCAAAAAGGTTCCAAAAAGTTTCCAACTGTCTTAAAGGACCAGCTTCTAGCAGGTTTAATTTATGGGTCAAAACGGCCTAGTCAAAGTCGTGAACCAAATCTTGGTGAAGCTCTGTTAACTGCCCTTCCCAGATACTTTCCATGCAGAATGTATGACAAGGAGTGAGCTTTTCTGCTAAATAAAATGGAGAAAGAAAATCGGTGTCAGGATGTTCGAAGCTGATAAAACAGACCTACCCCCCAAAAGACGAGTAGCAAAAATCCCAGCAAATATACATTTATATTCAGGTGAGGTGAATATAAATATATCCCTCAAAGTTCAATTTTTTATTTGTCACAAATATGGAAAAAAAGCAGAAGAGGCGACTGTTAAGGCTGCAGCTAGAGGGGGAGGCATTGTTTTGACAAGGAAGAACCCTCAGTTAATAATCAGGTCTTATGAATATGACTAATTAGCATTTAAAATACGGGCATGAGGGGACTGCACTGTGAAACAATGTTATCAGTTTAAAAAAAAGCTAAAAACAAGTGCAGATTTAATGATCTATTAAGGCGACAAATTAAATAAAAAGCAAACAATTTTCTGCCAGACTTCTGCAATGAATCACATGGTTCTATCCCCCCCAAAACTAATCACCCAAAAGCAGTTTCATTACCAGCGTATGTGTAAAAAAAACACCTTCCCAAAAGCAACATCCAAGAAGTGGGGAAACGTTCGAGGCAGCGTTGGCTCTGGCAGAGGGAGAGCTTTAAGATATTTTAGTTAGAATTAAATTACCAACTCAACCACAGGGCTTGTAGTGTGTAGTGTTTATCAGCAAAGCTGTCAGAATTGCGGTTTTGCACCATTCATCACTATTGGTCACAATCTACACTATCTGACAGTGAGCAAAACGGAGAAAGGACTATATATAAAACAATCTGTCTACTAAATATTTCCCTATATCACGGTATAACTTACCTAAATGTGCATCTCAATGTGAAGAGAGGAAAAAAGATGAGTTCATTTGACAAAACTCGGCCAATAAGGGCTCCAGTTCCATAACTGAGGGCAAAGTGTTTCTGCTAGGGGCAGCAGTTTAGAGACATTAACTCCTGACAATATTAATAAGAAGCAATGAGATATAAACTACAAGAGATCACCTCCTGATCGTTATACAAACTCTACCTCACCTCTACTTCACCTGACTGAAAGCACAAACAGACTGCATAAAAACGCAATCCCCTGGATAAAAAAAAAATAATGGTTATTACCTTTTTTAACGCTTCTAAACTGGAAACTAAATTAAAGGATTTGGCAGAAAGTGTGTCAACAGACTGGATGGGAAAAGCTGTGTGTGAGAACGCTGGTGCATTTGCTCTCACATCTGATGCAATGATTAACCCATCCAAAACAACTGGCAGCGTGTGGACACTCCGGGTAGGAGAGGTGTAAAATAACAGCATGGTTTCCCCTAAAGTCTGCAGGAATCCTGACCTTTACCCTCTTGGATTTATGAACTGTAGCAGCTGTGTTTACCCATCATTTAGGAAGAGGTTGGAGGTTTTTGTTTTCTCTTTGTTGCTGGGACAGGAAGAAGTGGTAATGAGAGTGAGACGTGCAGAGAGCACCATCCAATAGTTTCCACAAATTTTCATAATTTCTTCCATAGCTCAAATCCATCTTTTCTGTCATTTATAAATATCCCTTTCACGTTAAAGGAGTCATCACACGGAAACCTTGAGGTTTTCATGTGAGAATGTATGTTGGCATTTTATTTCTGAAAAAACGTTTTTCCGTGTGGGTTCATTGTTCAAATCAGAGAAGCCCAGACCAGAGCTCTCCTTCTGTATTGATGCCAATCCTGAAAGCACAACACTCATGTCTCTATTCAACCAAAATGGGCGAGTCCAACAATTGGGGTCTCGCCTGCAGGCAGCCTAAAAATGTTGCAGCTGTGTAACTATTTCCCTATTGAGTAAGAGACTAGGAAATTATGGTAAATAAACCATGGCTAACTGCTAATGGTGCTAACGTTACGAACATTACATTAGCATACAAGTCAAATCCTCATACCTAACCCTTTGATAAAAAACCCGGGATATGAAAATGGGTCTGAATGAGCTTTATTATATTTTCTTCAGCTAATAAATGTGAAATAGGAATATAAAGTCACATTTAGAATGACTGTTAAAATAACAAAGTTGCGCGACGCTGGAGAAAGCACAACAAGGAAGATGGCAACAACTATCAAACCATTCTCTTTTGACTCAGCTTTGGAATCAGTTATGGAAGGATTAGACTATGGGTTTTCATTGAAACGTGAGCAGGAAGAGGCTCTACACTCATTCATTTTTAAGAAGGGCGTATTCGCCATTTTAACGACAGGCTGTTTGTTTACACTCCCCCACCAGCTTTCTGACTACGTCACAGTCAGTTGCACTCATTGGTCAGAGCGTTGGCCAATAGACACAGACATGGTTTGAAAAACAACGGGTTGTTCTGTTCCAACAATCTTCCGATGTCTCGTTCATCGGGGCCAGACAAAATTACAAATTTAATCTCACATTTAGTCTGGTTTATCGGGCTATTGTTCTGTACAAAGTTGAATGTGCTAACAAAAATCATCAATGGAAATCAAATACCAAAGGAGGCCTGGATTTGTAGTCACACAAGATATTGAAATGGAAAAACACACTATGATCCAACGTTGATGTAATGTCCTTAAAACAGGTCACATTTGGGGCTCATTATTGTGTTTGGCCTCCATGTGTCTGTATGACCTCTCTACAACTCCTGGGCATGCTCCTGATGAGGTGACGGATGGTCTCCCGAGAGATCTCCAACCGGACTAAAACATCTACCAACTCCATGGAACAAGACATGACATCCCAGACGTGTTCAATCAGATTCAGATCTGGGGAATGGGCAGGCTAGTCCATAACTTTAAGTCTGTTATCCTGCAGGAACTGATGACACATTCAAGCCACATGGCATCCTGCATTAAGCCTGGTTTATGCTCAGAAACCAGGTAATCTGCGTGTGTGTCGCATTTAACGCAGATATGCCCCCCCTTCCGCAGATACTCTGGTGCACCTCCCCAAAAAAGCAGGTGACCACACAAAGTGCAGCAGACAACGTGGCAAGGAGGAGAGAAAGGAGGCCTCCGATTGGTCAATTCTACATCCACTCTACACTGTACATATTTCCTGTTGGGTTCCTAATGGCAGAAACTCTGGCTGTAGTGCCGTCCACAACGCCTGGCACACCTCGGACACCCTGGATACCATGCAGGAAGCTAGCTTGTAGCTCTGTGCGACGGTCTGTTGGTTTGCACCTGAAGTCAAAACACGCAGCGCCACGGCCAGCCTTTTGGGAACACCAACCGGTGACCCGTGTGTCGTCCGGCATTGGATGAGGGGTTGTAGACGGCGAACAAGCTCGTCAAACCGACACACGGACACCCATAGTCCTTGCTAGTTCCTAAATTGTCCCTCTTGCATTGTGCCGTGAAATATTGTGCATAAATCAAAAATATCTGCATCATACCTGCAACAAGCTAACTGTGACACACTGCTGCGGGGATATACACAGCCCTTTAGGAGGAACCCAGGGCCAACTACACCAGCATATGGTTTCACAAGGGGTCTGAGGATCTCATTTCAGTATCTAATGGCAATCATCCTGCCCCTGGTGAACACATATAGGGCTGTGCCCCACTCCAAAGAAATGCCAACCCACACCATTACTGACCCACTGCCAAACCGGTCATGCTGAAGGATGTTTCAGGCAGCAGATCACCATCAACGTCGTCTCCTGACTCCTGTACATGTATAGTACATGTAAGAGACCAAGACTCCTGCACGGTTTTGGGTTGTGTCACAACACCGCCAACCCCACTACACTTACTGATACAGTAAACCTTCTTGCCACAACTCATATTGATGTGCCATCGTGGATGAGCACTACCTGAGCCACTTGTGTGGGTTGTAGAGTCTGCCTCATGCTACCATGAGTGTGAAAGCACCACCAACATTCAAAAATGACCAAAACATCAACGAGAAAGCATAGGTAATGAGAAATGTTCTGTGTTCCCACCTGCAGAACGACTCCTTTATTGAAAGTGTTTTGCTAATTGCCAATCATTTCCCCCCGCTTTCATTCCATTTAAACAACAGCATGCAAAATTGATTCTCAGTCAGTGTTGCTTCCTAAGTGGACAGTTTGATATCCTAGGAGTTTGATTTCTTTGAGTTCTATTGTGTTGTTAACGTGTTCCCTTTATTTTATTTTTTAACAGTATATTTCATCACAGTTAGACTTAATCTTTTCAAGAAAGAAACAAAACATTCCTTTGAATCCAATACTAGGTTCTGCTCCAA